CACAGCCCTTCTCCCTGCCCCACCAATATCCCAATACCTACCCTTTCTTGGGAAAGACAGCAATGGCTCGGGGCTCATCCAGGCTGTTATTGATCAGCACTTTCCTAGAGCTTCCATCCAGTCTAGCTACTTCTATGGTATTGCGTCCTGTGTCTGTCCAGTAGAGGTTCCTGGCAACCCAGTCCACTGCCAGGCCATCCGTAGTCTTCAGACCCTGACCAATAACAGTTTCCATGTTGCTGCCATTCAGATCAGATCGCCTGGATGGAAATCAATGACAAAAGGCAGTGAGGAAAAAGTAGTTCCCAGAAAGGCTTCACACCTCCATGTGTGATTCCATCAGCCACAGGGACACCTCATACTGCTACCTACATAATATGTTTTTCCCCATAGCAAGTTCAAAACACCTTCAGCATTTAGTTCATCAATACACACGATGCTGTGTACCAAATACCAGGTGTAAATAGTGGTGTATCGCCAGCATCTCAGTCTCCCCAACTTATTGATTCACTCCACAGTTCACTGTGGCACAACCAGCACAAATAGCTGGGTGAGCTGGGCACTGGCCAAACAGATGACTGGCACCCACCTGATGACATCAAGAAATACATCTGTGTAGTAAATCTTGCCATCCACACTATCATAGTCTAGAGAAATGACATTGTTCAGCTCAGGGACAGGTATGTGCACATCTGTGTGGTCACTGGTGTCCAACGAGATACGACGAATGGAAGCACGGCTAGAGAAAAGCAGGTAGGTCTCTGGAGAAGAGTCACACGTCTGCTCATCTCTCTTCAGCTGGATGCCAGTGGGGCAGGCACAAGAGAAGCCAGTGGGGTGAGGCAAGCAAAGGTGGGAGCAGCCACCATTTCGAATTCCACATTTATTGAAGCCTTTAGAAATAGGGAAAGCATAGTTTAAGGATCAGCATGATCCCACACACCAAAGCTTTATTTTAATGGCTATACAGATGCACAACTTGCTAGCAGCTGAGTTCATCCTTACCATCCTGGCCTTGTTGGCAATTACAGCCCTTCATACACAGTCTACCTCCCTCCCCTCCAAGATTCATGGAGGCTATGGACATGGGTTGGGTAGGGAGAACAGGAGAGTACAGAAAGAAGGGGGAGAATTAGGAGCAAAATCTTGACTTGCATTCTTTGCTAATCCTAGTTTTCTCATAGAAAAAGGGAGAGCCGAATGCTGATAGATTCACACAACTGCAGTTTAGCTTTATTATTGCTGCAAATGGTAATGCTGACATAAAGATCCAACCCTGTGGGGAAGCAGTGTGACAATGCACCAGAGGCCAGGCTGACAAAGAAGCTTCTGTTTCAACTTAGCTGCACACAGTGGCAAGTAAACAAAGGCATCAGAGAAGCCTGCTGAAAGTGCCTGACATATTAGGGTCATATCTCCTTTAAAAAAAAAAAAAAGGGGGAAAAACCCCCCCCCGAACATTTACTAGGAGGGGATAAGCCCAGAAGACAGGTGCAGGGACTGGGAGAAAGACAATGGGGATATGATGATTACTTAGACTTAGCTGTAAATTATAAAGTTATACTGTCAGGAGTAATGTTGTGCTGTTAGTAACCACAGGAGAAGCAGCACAGGGTTTTCTGTAAAAGTATGTATTGGGGACATTCCACCAAAATGAAACCACAGCACGAAGCAACAACTCCCACTGAAGGCAAGATGGCATTATATAGGATTCCCCAAAGAGTAACATAAGGAACCTGAATCTGGCACAGAATATTTGGAGAGCATGATATATCGAGCAACTGAAGACACAGAAATTTTGTAGAGCAAAGCAGCAGACAAGAAAATTAAGTCTGCAATCATTGGGAAAAAAAAGTGACTAGAACTTGAAATAAGGTTTCAGCAACTAGCTTAAGAAGAATTAGTGCCTTCTGGAGTTAAAAAAAGGGAAACTGTCAAATGCCAGTAGATTCTGGTGAAGCCTAATAGGGCATGACTCATTCAGTCCTCCTAAAAAAGTGGCCCTGATGTGTGCGAGAATGAGGTTGTCTGTGCAATCCAGTGAAGAAAATGGGAAGAAGAGGGTCAAGAGGCATGCAATAATAAACATCAGACCTATAGAGCTGGGTAAATAGGGAGAAGTGCAAAAATAGTTAAACATGAGGGAAGAAATAAAGAAAAGCTGATTTTTGAGAAGTTACTCTAACATTCATGCTTTACACCAAATGAGTCTCTCCAATGACAGCTCTGAAGGGTTCCCCTAGTCACCACAGACACATGCTGATTTGGGAGCAGCCTAGATACTCACCCAGGGGCCGTGCCCTGTCAACAGCCTGAATGTCCATGAGGCCAGGCAAGTTTGCCCTCACCAAGATGACATTGGCACCAGTGTCCTTGTCAGCCCTGTGAATGCTGCGAGTTTGCCAGTCAGTCCAGTAGATGTAAGAGTCCAGCAAAGTGAGGCCATATGGGTGTTGCACTGGAGACAGCAGCGTGCGGCGGTTAGCACCATTGAGATCTGCAGCCTCAATCCGCTGAAGAAAAAAGTAAACATTAGTCCCACAGTCAAAACTGCTAGCAATTACTGTATCAAGTGGGAAGCAGAGCTTAAGCAAGTGATGTTATTCAAGTCCACCCTCATCATAGCCTATGCTCTCAGAAAAGCTTATGTTCCCCTTGCTCTTTTGATAGCTTGCTCAAGACCTTCAAAACAGTCTCCAGGCTACCAAAGACACAATGATGAACAATGCTGAAGAAGAGAACCAGACCTCAGTGTGTGCATCAGCCCAGAGCAGCTGGGATCCAGCCTTATCCACTGCCAGACCGTTAGGCCAGCCCAGGTTATTGCTGATCAACACTGCACGTCCAGAGCCATCCATCCCAGAGCGTTCCAGCTTGGCATTCTCACCCCAGTCCGTCCAGTACATATACCTGGGGAAAAGCCAGCAAGTGTTACAGAAACAGAGGTCAGAAGTTCTGCTCTAACCCCTAGATAGCCTCTTGACAACACTAACCCCATCTCATGGTATAAAGCTATTGCCCGAGGGCTGTCCAGGTTCTGCCAGACCAAGACTTTCCTCATGGAGCCATCAAGGTTACCAACTTCAATACGGTTTGTTCCTGTATCTGTCCAATATATCTTCCTGCCAATAGCATCCACAGCCAGCCCATCTGTAGTCAATAGACCTGAGAAAACAGAAAGGTGTATTGGTCACAGCTCATCCTCCCCAGGCAGTTGATTGAGGCTTTGTTTGCTCTTCCACTGAAAATTTAAAGATCATTCTACCAGGGTATCAGAGAATCTCTCTTTTCATGTGGCATGGAGGTGAGATGCTCCCAGGCCAAAATCCTTCTTACCTGTAGTGATGATGTCCTCAAATTGTGATCCATCAAGGGCAGCCCGGCTGATTTTCCGCAGTGTGCTGTCTGACCAGTAAACCTTTCCTGGGTGGAAAGAGAAGAAAGAGAAAGTTAAAAAAAGTCCACAACAAAACCAAACCAAAACAAACCCCAACAACCAAACAGGAAGATCCTTAAAAAGCATATCCAGGTCTCTGACTACCAGCTACACCATTCAAAACAGATGTGACTGAACAGGAATAAGAGCAGCACAAGACTAATAAGATAGAATGATAAAATAGTAAAAACTATCTGTAATCCTCCCCAAAATATGTAGGCGTACTGGCACCCAGACCTTTACACAAGGCCAGAGAACACATAACATGTCATCAGCTAGTAGTATAGAGTTCCACATCTCATTTCTTAAAATATCCCAGAGGACAGCAATCGGATCACCTACCCAAATTCACAACCTACAGTAAGATCTGCACCTGGGTCTTTACTCAGACATTTAGATATGAAGTCACTTGTTGCCTTTCAAACAGACCTTCATGAGGATCCACTCCAATTGCAATGGTGTTCTTCATGGTGACATTGACAGAGACAACAACATCTGCAAAGTAGGGAATATCCAGAGAGACCATCCGGATGTCAGTTCTTCTGGCGAAGATCAGAAAGCTTGTCATTCCTGCAGAGAGTTGAAAATGGACAGATATTGGCAAGGAACAAGTTTAGTCAACTGTAGGCATAATTTATTGAACATTCTGGAAGTGATATCCACTTCAGTGGAAAGTGGGAAATCTCAGGCACATCTCTGCTTACAGGGAGTCTGCACACAAAAGCTTTACTGAGCATTACAGAATGCTTCTTTACCTCCAAGTCAAAAAGGGGTGCACTCATAGAAGAGTTACGTCACTAATATGTGTGAGAAATGGGAATTAGGAGTCAGTTTTTTTCCTGCTAAGGAGAAAAAATGGATGTACCATGGCCTGCAGCAGAGTGCCTTACACAATTCTCAAAAAGAGGGTCCATGGGAGGAGCGCGTGCAGACCTATTAAAGCATATAGCATCTTAAAAAGAATCCACCTCAAGACCAGGTCAAAAGTACAGAGAAAAATGTGACATCTGGTTTAGTTGCCCAACATAATGTCAAGAAAAATTTCTGCTGTGTCAATCCAGTTATCAGTAAGTTTTCTCATAGTAATTCCTACTCAAAATGAAGGTGCAGGCATCAGATGGGTTTTTCATGGGATAAAGCAAATAAACACATAGAAGTTAATTTTACACTCTAACAAAGCAGCAGCAAAGTGTAGCTGTGATACAAAACTGCAATGAGGATCCTACAGAGAGGACTCACCAGGGGAGCAGGTCTTGCCATCAGATTGCAGGTTGATCCCAGTAGGGCAGGTACAGCTGTAACCTTTTGGAAGAGGTGCCAAAAGGCACAGGTGACTGCAGTCTCCATTGCTGACTTCACATGCTGTATGTACTATAGGAAAGGAGATGAGAAATCCGTAAGTCAGTAGCACAGGCACAAAAAAGGAGTGCAACAACTATAGAAATGCATTCTAAAATGCCCTTAAATACCAAGCCGAGATATTCTCATGCTCTCATATTCCACCCAGAGACTTAAGGCATCGAGGGCTGACAGACAGGTCAGCTCCTTGCAGGAGAGCTGTGCCACATATCAGAGCCTGAGCAAGCTCTCAGCTCAGTGTGGCTTGGGGCGAGCTCTGTACCTGGTGGCCTGTGCCGGTGGAAAACATGAATATCCATAAGATTCTCCAGATTGTCCTGCAGCGTTTCCCGAGCCTGCCCAGTCCTTCTATCTGCGCTCTGGATGCTTTTGGCCTGCCAGTCTGTCCAGTAGATTCTCTCGCCATAAAGAGTAAGTCCAAAGGGGTGAGGCAGATTGCTCCCAATCAGCACCTGGTCAGATTACCCCCAGCCCCCCCAGAAAACATTACTAAGAAGTCACTAAGGGAAATATGCTTCCCTTGCCCCCTCTCAACATCATAATGTACAGTCACAGCTAAAGGAGAGTGATGGGGCAACATTAGCCCTCAAATGGAGGTTCCCTCACACACAGTTTATAACTGAAAGGGAACTCTTCTCTCCCAGTGAAAGCAGCTCAGCATGTCTTGATTTGGAGATTTCACTTTCAACTGGAAAGAGAGGCAGGGGCCATCAGCGCTCTGTGCTCTAGGCCTTACACCTCAGGCTCCCAGACTCCCTCCACAAAGATGGCTTTCTTACCTTCCTGTTGCTTCCATCCAGATTGGCATACTCAATCGTCTTCATGCCTGCATCTGCCCAGTACAAGCGCTGCGACTCGTAGTCAATGGCCAAGCCATTAGGCCATGTCAGGTTGGAGGAAATGATCACCAAGCGGTTTGAGGCATCCATACCAGCACGCTCAATTTTTGGGCTGGCTCCCCAGTCAGTCCAGTACATAAACCTGAATACAAGCCCAGACATAAGTGAATGCCTGCACTCCTTCACTGCCACTATGGCCAGGCAGTGTTACAGAGAAGCAAGAGAGCCAAGTGCCTTAAGGCCCTAGCAGGAAGCAGCATTAGAAAGCAGAGTTAGACTAATATTGTACTCATACCCAGTCTTGGGTTCTTGTAATGTACCTAAAATCATACTCAAATTTATTATCCATGCTTATCTTGTTCCACTAGCATCCAAAATCAGGTCTCTAATTTCAGACTTTGGCAGGACATAGAACAATGGCACCAGAGAGAAAGACAATTGCACAAAACCAAAGAACCCAAACATTTTTAGACATGCTAGAATTGCCATATCATCCCAGAAGAAAGAATCTCTTACCCTCCAACAGGGTCCACGACAATATCTCTAGGTCTGTCCAGGTTCTCCCAGATTAGAACAGTTCTCATGGTCCCATCTGTGTTCGAGACCTCTATCCGATCTGTTCCTACAAAAGTCGAGAGAATGAGAGAGAGATCAAAGACCACTGGAACTGCAAGAGCTAAGGCAAAAACCATCCAGACAACAATGCATTCTTCCCCTCCATCCATCTGTTCACAGCTGGAAGATAGGTAAGAAACGTGCCTCAAAGTGTGACCTTCCATTAGACCTGTCAAGTCACCTCTGCAGCTGTCACTAGTGCAGAGTCCTGTATGAATGTAATCCAGTTCTTTCTTAAACCCTCAAGGTGTCTACATAGGCATGAGAGAACAGCAAGAAAATAATCACCTTCCTTACCCCCCTCTGAACTATGACTTTCCAATCCTCCAAATACCACCTGCTGCTCCCCAAGATACACTGTTGGAAGATGTAAACACACACAATCACAAACTATGCGGCAGGACAGCATTGGTGCCTGACTTCTACTAGAAACCTTTCTACAGAATTACTACTGGGGAATACTGCAAAAAGAATTAAACTCAGGATTCCAGCTCAACTCCTACTTTGTTAGAAGCACATGAGATGAAATTCCATTTTTTGCAAGACAGAACCAAACAAATTTGGACTGAGACAGATAGAACTACTCAGCTGTTCTTCAGTTTTCATGACTAATAAGGCAGACAGAAGCCTAGGTAAAGCAGAGGATCCCAGTACCTGCATCAGTCCAGTACAGCTTGTTGGTGACCCAGTCAATTGCCAGTCCAGCTGGACTTTCCATGCTTGTGTCCACTACAACCTAAATACAAACAGAAAAAAAATCCTCAGTGAGATTAGACATTAGGGAGAAAGGACTTGCCCAGTGCACCACCCATTTAACAAACAACATTAATTTTCAAAAGGCAAAAAACCAAGCAAAGCAATGCCATACAGAAGAGAACATGAAGGACTTAGAAGTTCAAATAAGTCTTACATTTAGAGAAACATCTATTTTTCATGTCTGTTCAAAATGCAACTCCAAACTTTGGACTCTGTCCCCCTGAGTTACAGCAATATTAGCCTAAGGGTGTGTGCAAAATGCATACTCAAGGAGCATGGCTCTTGCTCCAGAGGATTTAATACTTCTTCCTTTCAGATTTTAGGGATACAACAAAGGAATTTACCACAGTTTACAAATTAACACACTTCATGTCCCAATTCAAGGTCTTCCATACAAGCAGGAACGTACACCAAAGTTGCATATAAAGCATTCGGTGATCTCAGGGCTCTTCTGAGCCAGAACTAGGCAAACTAATGAACAAATCCAGCATGAACTGCAGCTCCTTAGAAGGCCAGTGTATACCAGTAGCTTGAAATCTGATGCCCAAGGAATCTCCTGGCTAGATGACCTCCACATGTAGTTAACATTGTACCTCCTGGCTTGATCCATCCCATTTTGCTCGGCTGATTGAGTCGGTGCTAACATCTGTCCAGTAGACGTAGTCATCCTTTGAGTCCCAGTCTAGAGCCACAGCGCTGCGAACATCAGCAAGTGGGATGACATCATCTGACAGGTCATCTGTGTCAAAGCTGATCCGACGGATGTCCATCCTTCGGGCAAAAAGCAGGAACTTGTCAAGACCTGATCAAAGGTCGAAAGGTCTTCTTTTAATTTCTCTAAGTTCAACAATACAGCGATAGACACAGACAATTCCTGGCTATATCCAACCTTAACCAATTACATCATCTCTCACTGGCAGGTCACAGCCCAGGATTTTATTGGTAACAAAATACCACTGAGGGGGAAGGCTGGAGGGGGTTGGTGGAAGGGAATAGAGTAGTAGGGAGTTGTCTCCTGGGGGTAATCTATGCTGAGGGAACAAAGTCTACCATGTTCTTCAAAGAATGGCATAGACCTCCCTCCAAATCAAATAGCTATCCCATTTCCTGTGAATCTAGGAGACAGTTGGCCTAATTCATCCCATGATTACGAGGCAAGAGAAACTGTGACAACCAAGAGGACTGAATTTTTTGTTCACTGCTGACACAGCTCCGATGAGAGCTTTAGGGAAACAACCAGCTGTGACAGGTAGTGTGGCAACAATAGCAGCCCAGAAATAAGGTCCCAAGGATGAAGCTTCTCTGTATCCCCACCCACCAAGCCTAGTGAGGGCAACAGAAATGCAAAACAGAGGAATGCATCAAAAAGGTGAAGCATCCTCTGGCAAAGCTCTTAATACTGCTGACTCAGTTTATCCAGCTGCATCTTCCTGGAAGCAACTGCTGCTGCTTACTCCCGTTGCCAACCCTCTGCCACCCGCTGAACATCTGAGCATGCAGGCTATGGTCCCACCTCACTTACTCTGGGCGCAGGCATGGCTGCTGGTCTTGCGGAAGCCCGTGGGGCAGGCGCAGG